AAATAAATATTTTAAAGATATATGGAAAATGTTCATTGCAGGCCTGTCTTTAAAATATATCTTTAAAATATTGTGCCTCCTGTTTCACCTTATTCTTGTATACTGCTGTCCTGGAAGCTCAGCTCAGCGAAGCCTTCTGCCAGCAGCAGGAGGATTAAACCAGGATTTAAAAATGCAGATTTGTTTAAAAATATAGAGTGGTCTCTTCATTTTTTTCCATGGCGGTATGTACCACTGGTAGACTGGCATACCATTCAGCATATGCCCTCTCTTGTGCCCTGTGGTGGACTGGTATGCTCTTAAGGAAACATCCTCCTTTTTCCCAGGGATAAACTCCAGGTTCACCTGTATTCTGTGGAGTGATGCTGCAGTCCGGGATTGTTTGGGGGTGTTACCCTAGCTTTTTTGTCACGCTTTGAATTTACAGCATATGACAACAGTGGCATCCGGTATTTCATCCATTAAGTATCTTTTCTGAAGCTTAACGAATCGAATAAGAAATCAGCATGAAACAAATGCCTTTTCTAGCTGATAGTTTCATGAATCACAAATAGTTAACAGCACCATGGTGAGGAAAAATGAATGCAACAAAATGGTTATAAGGTCATTGTAGATGTGATGATGTAATAGATTTATTATGTCGGAAGAAGACAGAACCTAACCATGAACTTTTATTGAGCTGCACAATGCAAGAGAACAATAATATGCTACTTTAAGGCATTTCAGAGAAGCAGCTAGCATGCGATCAGCTACTATTTGTCAATATCTAAATTCTTCAATAGTCATTTATTTACTCTTTGTACACATTGCACTGTGTGAAAGCTAGACTCCATTTGACTTTCTGCCAGGCAGAGGGGAGGTGAATGGGCTGATGGTGCAGGGCAGAGCTTGGATTCCACATGCTTTTTCATTAAAGGATGTGGTGATATACGTGTAATTACAATAAATCGTGAATGGATTTCTTTTTCACTTTTATTTTACATCCTCAGATCTTAAGCTACACTTTTCTTCAGCTCACAATATATTGATTTTACATGTCTCCAGTGGCTGTTCTCCCACTGTTTCCACAGACACAGCTGTTACAAACACAAGGCTAGGGCAATAGGTGGTTCAATGGGAAGCAGGTGTTGTAAATATCTTTAAACTTATGGTGTGATTGTGTGTGAGGGATGAATGATCTGGAATGAGATCAATCGTTTTCCTTTAAAAGCTTTCAGCCTGGCTGCTACACTGGGGCCTGTACCATGAAACAGGATTTCCTGCTTAGCCAGATAACTTCTTGAATTTAAGGTACACTCAGAAAAA